TTACCATCAGTGTGCTCCCAAAGTGGCCCAAGTTAGGGCTGTGTACAGCTCGGGCTTCAGAGAGCTAGTGTATTTCAAGGGCAGCTTGTGTGGCATGGCGGCACTGGATGCCTTTGGGAGAGGCCCTTGTTCTTAAAGTCACACTGTCACCTGAACCTTTGACCTTGAAAATACTAATTTTAACTGCAATTTAATTTTTTCCCAAATTCCTAAATTGTTGTTGGTGCTGGCGTGGTTAAAATGAGTGGCTTTCAGCTTATGACTGGCACTGATGGCATGTATATTTCACAGATGACATGCGCTATGCAAGTTTAATGCCTTAGTCTGATTTATAGTGAGCAGCAAACCTCTCTCTCTCTGTTTTTTTTTTTTTTTTAATTGAAATGTGAACTTACTCTTTAATTTATCCACTGAGAGGGACGGATTATAGGTTGCTATTGATGGGAGAGAAAACCTTAACTTCTATTTCAGGAATAAGAAGCTTGGGAGGTTCCCTTCAGTATGTCTTTCAAGATTTCTCTTCACCTCTATCTTTTCTGAAAGGAGGTGGTACAAGTGGGTGATGGGGCAGGTCAAGGTCACCCTAGCTAGATCTTCTTTTCCAAGAGGATTCATGTCAAATTTCCCCTGCGTCCACTGGGGAATCCACCAACACCGTTAGATATTCTGGGACAGGCAGGCAAATACTACCCACAACTTCATTTCAAATTATTGTGTCCTGGGGCCAGAGAAAAGCTGTCTTGTATCCAAGACACCTGACTTAACTACTGTTTTCCTCAAGGCCTAACTTTTCTCAGAATTAGGATGGAGTGATTGGGCTTCACACCCTCAGAAGTCCTTGTGTGTTCTATACAGCACACAATGCTAACGTCCTCTGGTAAGCAAGGTGCTGGGCTGGTCCTGACTCCATCTCCGTTCTCGTATGCAATTCCTGATGCACCATGTGCCAGTCCTCTGTCATCTGACCTTCGCCTCACACTAACAGAGCTGAGAGAGGTTTTCTGCTTGTCCCTCGCTTTCTGCTCTGTGTTGCTTTTTTTCTGTTATAGCTTGCTGGTACAAGTCCAGCAATGCAGGTAGAGAAACACGTGTAAGAGTTACAAATCATTTGGATTGAAATCTTTGCAATATAGCATTTGCCAGATCTTTTCCATCTAGGATGATAACCCAGGAACAACCAAATGATGTTAAGAAGGCAGTAGCTTGAGTCCTGTTGCTTTGAACATAACAGCTAATTTTCTGTTTAACAGTCTCCAGGAGCACTAACATGGCTAGTGATTTCTTCCAATTTATGACATAGCCCTCATTTAAAAATACATGTAGATTACTATCCATCTAGATTACATACCATCCATCTAGATTACCAACACTTTGCCATGTAGCAATCTTTGTTTGATACTTTAAAAGGGAATTGTTCAATGATTTTTTTCTTTTCTTTTTAAAATTGTAGCCAGAATCTTCCAAACCCTCTGAAAGTGCAGTGAATGAACTGAAAGGAATACTGGTAAGAACACACCTCAGCGTACTGTGGGGATTAAAGGAAAATGTCGTCTCGTGTTTTGATAAGTCGTTGTTTGGACCGTATGTGATTTCTGTTGACAGTAAGCCTCATTTCTTTGGAGAGTTGACTTGATTGTAGTTATGGACTTCTTCATTACAGGTGTTTAGTAATGCATCAAATAACCCTTTGCTCTTTCTACTCTAATGCTCTTCCCCATGATCAGTTTCAGATAGTGGTTGCAGGTACACCAGAATCGTGTCTGGCATTACAGCTCGAAGAGAACATGAATAGCTAAATGTGAGCATCAGTACGTTTATTCATGACAAAAATACAGTAGAGTCCCTGACTTCGAGAGTGGTGTATTTAGGGGCTACCCAAGCCCACTGCCATGTAGCCGACTCCAAACCATAGTGACCCTGTATAGGGTTTCCAAGACTGCAGATCTTTATGGGTGTAGACAACCTCATTTTTCACCTGCTGGTGGGTTTGAACTGCCCATCTTACACTTAGCAGTGCAGTGCTTACCCTCTGCTGCCACCAAGGTTCTTTGGATTTTGGGACACAAAGAGTAGACTCCTGGTAGAGCGCTGTAGGATCAGCATTGGACTGGACCACAAGGTCAGCAATTCAAACCCACCAACTGTTTCTCAGAAACCCCATACAGGGTCACTATGAGTTGGAACCAACTCGACAGCACTTAACAACAACAACAGATGTACATCTGAGCTCCTACCAAATATTAGTCTTGGGGTCATAATCTGCTTTTTCTCCCAATTAAAAAAAAAATTACATGACACTAAACTGTAAAGTAAGCACCCTTCTCTTTATGTGACCAATTTGATTTTCTAAGGGTAATTCACTTCTTCCGCTGGAGAACACAGTCAGTGCTCGTCTTTCGTCATAGTCCTACTTTTTGAATTGTGAGTTTTCACCCATGATATAAATGGCTACTGTCCTCGCCACCAATTGAAGAAACGCCTCCCTTAGAGAATGTCTCAGATACTAAGCGCTCTGGTCTCAGATCCTGTTGTAGCCCTAATACCAGTTATTACGCACAGTAAGTCAACAAACACGGGGGCGGAGGTAGAGGACTAAATACTCCCATGCTTCTTGTTACTGTGCTAATTATGCATTGCGTGGAGACAGCTACATAATTGGGGTAAACAAAATTATTTTCATCAAGAGTGCCTTTAAATAGTAGACTTAACTCAGAATGGCTTAATTAGTTTGCTTTAGTCTTAGGCGAATGAGATTAGCACTGAAGAGACGTAGATCACCAGCTAACAGTGGTGGTCGACCTACAGAATAAAGTGGTACAGCCATTGAGAAAGTCATGTGGTTATTATATTATATAACCAGCAGGTTTACAGGTTCCTGACTCAGAAGCATCTGTGATCGAGCATTGTGTTTAAGAACTCCCTCTGGTCGGTCAGTTCCTTCTGTTAATTCATGTTTAAGAAGATACCCAAGGACACTGTGAAGTCCTGGGTAGAGTTTCTGGGTCATCAATGAAAGACACAGTCGGACAGAGTTAGAACTTTTTTAAACTTTTAAGTTGATTTGAAAACTCAGATAGCCATATGAAATTCATACGGTAGTATTTGATTACCCAAATGTTCCATTCCCATCCTAGAATGCTGGATGCTTGCACATTTACTGAATTTTGGCATTGCTCTTTAAGATCCTATTCACTTTAATGTTGTGGCACTTCAAGGAGAGAAATCTGTGAAATAAATGTTTGTGAAATCATTTACAAGTTAAGAATTTTTTTAAAACTCTCGTTTGTAAATTGTCCGCCTCCTCCTTGTCCTGAAGTTCCGTTGGATTCCTTTGCCTTATCTAGTACTCAGTGGTGTGGCAGTATTCTTTCTTTGCGTAAATAGAAAAATCTGAGCTCAGGGCCCTCTCTCCTACTCTTTCTGTGAGGGAACTCCCAGTCACCTGGAGCCAAGAACACCATAAAAATTCATGTAAGATGGAAAAGAATCCCCTAGTTCAGTCTACCATACAGATGAGGCTTTATTAGTGTTTTTTGCTAAAGTGTAGAGTGGATTTTCAAAGTCCATACCTAGCAAAGCACACAATACCAACCTCACAAATGTGGCATGTGAAAAACACGAACATGGGAAGCAAGAATGTGAAATGCGTACAGATGGGGTTGTGAGGTGTAGAAAGTGAGTTCCCGGATGTTGAACCAAGTAACGTTGGGTTCGGTTCTGCTGTAGAACAGAAACTTAGAAGACATTCTCGTGTGCAAGTTTTTGTTGAAATAAATTGTAGCCTGAGTTGTCAAGTACATCTGCAAGTTGGAGGTTTGATTGACCTCTGAATGTTAACTCGTGGATAGAAAACAAATCTCTGGTTTAGTGGGAGATGGGAAACCTCCCTGTTTTGAGTCATACAGTTTTTGAGCTAATTTTTAAAAACTTACTGTTGACTAACCTCACCCTTCTAAGCCTGTTCCCACTTAATTTTGAAAGCTTTATATTTAGTAAATAAATGCAATCTGTTTGCCATCACCACAGAGGAGTTTTGAGGTCTAGGAAACCACTTGAATCACCTCAGGTACCTAAAAGTTGCTCTACCTGGGAAGAGTGATTTTTGAAGAACACATCAGTACAGATTAAAATTCTCCCTCCACAGTTAGATGACTCTAAATGAAAGAAGCAAAAGCAGCTTTTAGATTGTTGTAAAGATGCATATATCACAGCATTTGCCCATCGAACATTTTCCCACAATTTAATGATATAAATTATATTTATCATGTTGTATAACCATCACTCATAATCAATGCCAAAAGCAACATGAAAAAAAAAAAATCTCTGATGGTTCTTTTTCTAAATACTGAGAAGTTACTGACTAGTTAATTTCTTCACTTGGCAATGAGATTAATCATCATTATGAACATTTACCTAACATGGAAACTAAGATTGCTAAGTGATCACAGGGTTTTAAAAGTTGAGAATGAGTCCATGAGAAGATCTGAATTCTAGATCCAGTCCTATCACGAACTTGTGGGATGTGGGTCCAAACTCTGGGGCTTGCTGAATTTAAGTTCTCTTGTCTGTAAAACAAGGGGATTGTGTACACCCCATGGTTTCTAGGTAATTTCTGATTCTGAACTTAAGTGATTTTAATATAAACAAGGAATGAAGATAATCTTGTTGCTTTGTGAACTGGGGCTCTGGGTCATTTTAGTTGAGGGTCATACCGAAAGCTTGCTTTCCTAGTTTCCTTTCTGTTTAGACTTTGCACCTGTAGTAACAGGATCAGCCACACAAGTCAGTAAATGAAGAGAGATTTGGGATTCATGGATAGGAACCTGGTGGGAGGATTCCTTCAGTATCAAGTGTGATGAGAAGACAGTTCACTCTAGTTAAGAATTTGGGGAAATGAATATGTTACCTACATGGAAAATGGAGAATATAGAGAAAGATAAATTCATCAGTGAAAGATATTCTTGGAAGGTATATGTGTGTCTATATGTTTGTACACACAGTCATACATATATCCTTCCCTTGAATGAATTCAGCTATTTGGGAAAAGCGTAAAAAATACTCTTTACATTCAAAAGTTGTTGTTAAGTGCCATCAAGTCAATTCTGACTCATTGTGACCCTGGGTAGGGTTTCCGAGGAGCAGCTGGAGCGTTTGAACTGCCTGCCTTGTGGATCAAACCGACCTTCTGGTCTAGTGCTTATCCTACAGTGTCACTCCAGGACTTGTTAATAGCTTTATGAGCTATTCTAATAGTTGTTGTGAAATGTCGTTGAGTCGGTTTGGACTCATAGCGACCCTGCATAGGGTTTCCAAGGAGCGGCTGGTGAGTTTGAACCACTGACCTTGTGGTTCAAACCAACTTTGTGGTCCAGTGCTTTAGCCCACAGCACCACATCAGGCCAGAAAGTTTTTAAATATCTGTTAACAAATAATATAGATCATGGATTTTTTAAAATTATGAACACAAATTATTTGGGCTGGTTGCTTCAGCACATTAGTCAAGTGTATCTGCAGCGTTTTTAGTTCTGTGTTCTTGGCCTTGTGAATGGCAGCCATACCTTACTCTATGACAACCCAGTGAGTAGATGGAGCTCTGCATTGTTAACCGTTAAATAAACCATATCATCTCATTTTTTAAAAATACAGAAGACATTGACTTAAAAACATTCAGAATGTCAGCATAAAATAGCTGCAACTTTTTTTTTTAATTGTAAAGTGAGCTGTGACAGGTATATGTCATGTGAGTTTTTCTTTGAATTTATCATCAAAGCAAAGCAACAAGAGGTGTTCCCGGGGGAAAAGTATCCTCTGCTTGATTAAAATATGAGACTGTCGTAAATCTTCTACACCTCAGTTTTGGTTAGGCCGCTGATCACTAAAGAATGTCAGCTCCTAACCTTGTCAGTAGTTTCTCCCCTGACAACAGGTTGCTTTCCTGTACTTTCATACAGTTAAGGAGAAAAAGAACAAAACCTAAACACCTTCTAAACACCATGACATAATAACCTATCATTTGAGATTTGTAACCACCTGATTCTCCTAGCAACCCACCTGGCTTTAGAGGCTAAAGAAGAAGCCTGGGTTACCATTTGTAGGCAGTAGAATTCTGAGAATCCTTCAGAAGGTTGGCAGGAGGAATCAGGATTAAAGCAAACCTGCAGTAACCTTGGATATTAACAAAAGCTGGCATGGTTGTTGGTGGGTAAGTTCGTACAGTCAGTCCTGATTCATAATGACCCTGTATAGGATTTCCAAGAAGAGTCTGGTGAGTTTAAACCACCGACCCTGTGGTTCAAACTGACCTTGTGGTCCAGTGCTTACCTTACAACACCACACCAGGGCCTGGTTGTTAGCCTTGGACAAAAGGTGCCTTCTGACTGTGGCATAAAGGTCTGGCACATTATACCAGACTGGAGGTTCTGACATGCCATGATCAACAAAGATTGTGATTTTCTGCTTTGTTTTGTTCTTAAGCCTTGTGGCACAGTTGAGGAGGACCATTTCAAATAAGTTGTTGTTAAGTGCCGTCGAGTTGATTCTGACTCAAAGCGACCCTGTGTAGGGTTTGCAAGGAGCAGCTGATGAGTTTGAACCACCAACCTTGTGTGGTTAGCAAGGTTGATGGTTCAAAATAGGCCTTTATTTCTTAGGAAAGAGACATGGACCACTTGTAACGGTGTGGTGCTAATCCTTCCATCTAACAAAGAAGTACTTCATCCTGTGTTCTGTTGCAAACACTGGGTTGGTAATGGAGATTAAAAAAAACCCATCGCTCTCCCTCCATTGCAGACTTCCTACGGGAGCAGAGCAGCAAGTCATCAAACCATCCATGATGATCGTTCACTCTTCCTGAAAGCTAGTATCCATTTCAAAGTGATCATAGTGTTGTAGCATCTCTTGTTTCCATCAGTATCTTCTAGGCCCTGGATACATTCACTGACTCCTCTGTTAAAATTAAAGTAAAACCCTTGCTGTTAAGTCGATTCCAACTCATTGTGACCCCTCAGGACAGAGCAGAACTGCTCCCCAGGGCCTTCCTCTTTATGGAAGCAGACTACCCTGTCCTCTTCTGGGGAGCACTTACTGGATTCAAACTACTGATCTTTGGGTTAGCAGCTGTGCACTTAATCAGTGGGCCAGCAGGGTTCATCAGTCATCTGTCAGGAAAGGAACTAAGAATGCCACCCTGGGCGACTGTAATCTTTCTCACACTGCGGTCAGTGTCTCTTTGGTGGGTCACTGGGGGGCATTTTGTGCCTCCACTATCATCAGATGTATGGCTATGGTCACTCTGAGGAATCAGCTCCACATTTTTCAGTGCCTCAAGGATTTGGGTTCAGTAGTACATGGCGGCCAGATCCAGATGTCCTTCGAAGGTGAGTTCAACGTATCTCTTCTCCAGGGGAGCAGCACACATCAGAATCTTAATCATCGAAGTCTAGGGACCTTCCCACCACTGAATTGCAGGTGGTTGGCTCATCAGGTGGTGTTCTTTCGACAGGAAAGCTAGAATTGACATCATCAGTCACATCTTCTTAACTGACCCAACACTTCAGTGTTTCCAAAGATAAAGAACATTAAAAAATATGTATATATACCAAATTTGTTTTCTTTCTCAATTCCATTTAATTTCTGCTAATGTTTTGGTGGTTTTATTTTCTTTCATATTCTTTTATAGGTTGTATTAAGACATTAACCTTTTTGTTTCTGTTTTTGTTTTGTTTTCGCTTTAGGGGACACTAAACAAATCCGCTAGTACAAGAAGCTTAAAGTCCCTTGACACTGAAAACAGTGAAACTGAGTTAGAAAGGATTTTGCGTCGAAGAAAGGTGACAACAGAAGCAGATAGCAGTAGTAAGCTGGTTTGGATTCTCCATAGTCTTCCTCCTCTTCTCTGGAATCTTCCTTTAAATACCTTTTTAACATGCAACCATCTTTCTTTTTATTAAAATTGCTTTTGAAAAAAAAAAAATTTTAATGTGAGTGAGAAGTATGGGATTGGCAAAGGTTTCTGGATATCTCATAAGAACTCTTTTAAGTGTTTTTATATATTATATATTTTAAATACTACTGACATATTTATTTGGGGTATTTAGATATTCTTATAGACCTGGTTTGCTTAATACAAGGTGTCCTTGTGTAAAGACATTCAGCCTGGGCTTTGGCATTGAATATGGCATTGAAGACAGGTTCTGGAATTAGAAGGCATGAGTGTGAATCCTCAGATGGCTTTGCCATTTACCATTGGCTTCTAAGGAGTTAAGTATTCAAGTCACTATGTAAAAAGTAGTTAGCACTGTGTTTGGACGAAGTAAGCACACAACACATGGAAATGAGTTAGTACAAATACAGAGAGTTCAGCTGTACTCAGCTAGTTTCTTATCACTGCCTGTGAACCAAGTGAATGAGAATACATTCCAGCTCTGTCACAACCTCTAAATGTCCCATCTGAGTAACTCTTAAGCTCCCAGCTTGCATTTGTGTTAATGTCAGGCATGTATTTGACTTCTGAATCTATTACAGACCTAACCTTGTATCACTTCAGGTTTTGTTTAATTTTTTATTGTTTTTTTTTTTATCAGTATAGTCACAGAAGTCAACCTAAACTTTTAAGATGTTTCTGGCCGGGTAGGAGGCTGACTTTGGAAAACGGCTGTAAACTTTAAATTCGTCTGCAGTTATAGTTAATGAAAGGAATCTCTTGGGCACAGTTGACACAGTCTTTCCCTTCATTCTTTAAGTCAACTCCAGTTAGTTCACCTAAGCAGTTTAAATCTGTAAAATATTGAGTCATGTGGCTCTAATTTAAGCTGCCAGCATATCAAGGATTGGGGCCTTTGATAATCAGGCTCATGTTGGGATTTCCTTAACCAGTTGAATCCATATCCTTGAATGAAAATACCAGCCAAAGCTCTTTTATTACTAAAAGATGGGGCGTTCATTTGCTTCAGATTATTCAGATACTTAGCATCTCATTTGGTCTGGAAATCCTCTTGTTAAAATCTTACAAGGATGCCTGCCTTTAGAAAAGTTGCTACCTCTCAAGAAAATAAACGGGTGACATGTAGTGCCAGAGATATTTCCTTTTCCTCCTTAAGATTGCTTAATAAAGCATTTACTTGCCCTCAATAATGAATCTCTCATCTCCTAATTTAACAAGTATTTGAGTCATCCTTCCCAGTCTGTCGTCTTCTTAGGAATCATTATTATTTAGGACTTTGTGGATGCCATTTTAGTACAATGGCATTTACATTTTATATTTGCCACTGACTGTTTTATCCCCTTCCAGAACATTCTGGGGAGCGTGGTGGCTCCATACGATAAGCACTAGACTGAAAACCACAAGGTCTGCAATTTGAACCCGCCAGCCCCTCTGAGGAAGAAAGATGAGGCTTTCTGCTCCTTTGAACATTTAAAGCCTCGGAAACCCTATACAGTGTCTCTGTGTGTCAGAACCGACCTGACAACACTTAACACCACCAACAACAGGCACATTTTTACTCAGGACTGTGGTGGGAAAGCTGCCCCACTCACTTTTTCAGAGTTAGTTTTCAATGGGAAACACTCTTGTGTAAATTTGGAAATTGGAATATTTCAAATAGTGGGCAAATGTAGGATTCGACTTACAGGCAAGGTGAGAACCTTTCATTGTATTATATTCTACCAATATATCGATATTCAATGTATCATTTGGAAGAAGTTAGAGTAAAGAATATATATTCACCAGAACCATTAGAGTACGAGTAGCCAAGTAACAACTAATTGGTGGGGTGGAAAAGAAACATACTAAGAAACATAACTTGCAGTAGAGCAGTAGTTTTCTTTTGAGCGTCCTAGTTGTTGTTTAGTGCTGTCGAGTCGAGCTTCCTAGGAGCCAATGCAAAAAAAAAAAGGAAACAAGCAAACAAACATCTAGTAAAAGAAATCCTATTATTTTAGGGCCATACAAAGATTTCTTAACATCAAACTAGAAAAAGATGTTTACTGTGTGAATCTTTTACTAAAGGTCATGGAATGACCAAGGGAAGTCGTGAGAATTTGGGATGGGGTGGGGCAGGGAGGAGGAAAATAAAAGCAGCAGCTGAAGCAGCACAACTGCGTAGGTGGAGAGCAGATTACATGGAGTCTGACAGGTTTGTGTCTCAGGTACACTTCAGCCTTGCACACAAAGGCTTATGGGAAAGCTTCAATGTGTGGCCACCCATGAAGAAAGGAGATTTTCTTTAAGGGTGACAAAGAAAGGAACCTAGGGTTTGCAGAACTCAGATCCCAGGATAGTGGGGTTTTCCTCCTGAGGCCTGGGAACATCTATTCCTTCATTGTTATTAAAGTGTCACTGAGTCAGTTCCGACTTGTAGTGACCCTATATAGGGTTTCCAAGTTGCAGCTGGTGGTTTGAACGCGTTCTACTTGTCGGCCTACTTAGTGTTCCCTTGTTTTATCTATGGCCTACCAAAGTGACATCTCAAAGAGTGGCAAGTGCTTCTTATAGAGCATTGAGTGCCTTAAACAGAATACAGTAGTAATAATAATAATCATAAACATGATACATTGTTTTCTTCTTTTAGTATGTAAGAAAAAGAAGAGCTCTAGCTCTGCTTCCCCTCTCCACCTTTTTAACATGGCTTCAGTTTCAGAACAAGCACTAGGCATTGGTGTATTCAGAAACAGATCTTGCTTCCCTGCAAGGACAGACTGTTAAAGCAATCTCGTGTTGTAGTCAGCAATTACCCCTTGGCAGAATAGAACTGATCTGAAGCAAAGCTTGAATTCAGTGTCATACTGATATTTGCAGGAAGTTTCTTTCTTGCTCTTTCAGCCCTTTGCTCTTCACTCCCACGTTCCCATGCAGCAGGAGACTTAGCATAGCTGGGGAGGGAAAGGCATTTCTAACCAGAACATTCACTAACTGTCCAGATGGTATCGATGAAATGAATGATGAAGAACACAGATGTTCATGCTTTCCAGACTGGACTCTTAGCGCATTTCATGAGATAGAGTCCAGGGACCTGCATCTCCCAGGGGAGTCAGGCTGAAGGAGGTGCCCAGCAGAATAGTGTAGGAATTTTCCAGTCCCTCATAGGTAGGTTTTTCAAATCAGAACTTCATTCTGAAGCTGACTATACTGTGATCACATATCAACACATTCATATTTAAATGTAAGAATTGTTAAGTTCCTTCGAGGAGTATCTACTCATAGGACCCTGTATAGGGTTTCCAGGGAGCAGCTGGTGAATTTGAACCGCCGACCTTTCAGTTCAAACTGACCTTGCGGTCCAGTACATTATCCCACAGCGCCACCCCAGGACTCCAAATGTAAGAATAAAATCCCCAAATTCTATTACTTACTGTTCATGTTTATGGATTCAGTATCATTTTGGACTGTACCTGCTATCATTTTGGGAGATAATCTTGACTTTTCTGAAGGGTAGAGCAGCTCCCAGGTATTTTTGTCTTTTTTAGTAGTACCTTTCAAGATTTGTGACTTATTTTAGAAATCCCTTAAAAAAAAAAAAAAAAAAGAATTCCTATTGAAGTTTCAAGAAAGATATCCTAGGAATTTGCTTTGAGAAAAATTGCCGAGGATAGAATCTTTCTACACGATGACCAAAAAGAAAATAGAAAAAAATAGAGAAGAGGGGAATGACACTATTTTGCTTCAGTGCCTAGAATTTCGATGTTGATATATGCCAGTAATTTCAATGACAAGACCTGTTACAGTTCCTTAATCCTTTCTCAAAGAGCAGAAAAATCTAAAAAAAGTAAACAGCCAAGCCCTTTGCCACTTCATTTTTATAATCCTGCATCTGCATGTTAAGAGGAAAGAAATCCACTCACTTCTCATTCACATTAAAATGAATATGTTCATGACAGCTGTTTAAGGCTCAGGAAGCCTTCATGAGCCTTTTAAGAGAGCCTTTTGCTGTGAAAAATGAGCTCCTCGTTTTAAGCTGAGTTTGGGGAAGTATTAACTCTTGAGAGGCCAAATGGCTCGAGTGGGCTGTCAGAAAGCCATACTGTGTGAGAAGAAAAGCATTTTCACAGTCCCAATTTGACTAAGGACTCCAGTAGGTGAGAGAACCAAGGCCCGGGGTTTAGTACTTCCTGAAAGGGCTGTACACAATTCCTCAGCGTGCTCCCAGTGCCTCGAAAAAGCTATAGCACCACCAAAGCAGAGCCAGTGTCCAATAGGAACAGTTTTCAGCATGCTCTTGGAATTTTAACAAACTTGGCCTTTTCACTTCCTGAGGAACTTCTCAGCTAATCTGTTTTTCAGTGCCATATGCATAAGCACCACACAGAATGATTAAACTTGGGGTATGTGTTTGGTTTTAAGGTCCAACCGGAATGTTAGCCACCTCAGAGTCTAAATCCATGCCAGTGTTGGGTTCTGTATCCAGTGTAACAAAAACAGCCTTGATCAAGAAAACTCTGGAGGCAGAATTCAACAGCCAGTTCCCCCCAACACCTGAGCCAGGTGAAAGGCCCCGTAAATTGGAAGGATGCACAAGTTCCAAGGTCACGTTTCAGTAAGTAACCATCTGTCTTCTTCATTCAGTAGTGGGTAGAAGAATCTGTGATGATTCATTTGTGTGTTACTTGGGTTTGGATCTGTTTGGAGAAAAGACTGGTTTGGTTCTCCAATCACTACAACTCTCCTTCCTTCAGCTGAAGAGTCAACTTTTGATTCTAGGCCCTGAGCCTAGAGGTCTCATTCAAATTCAAAGCAAGTACCCTGTGTCCAGAGAATCACTTTCCTTTAACTGATTTGCCAATTAGGTTCTTTTTTTCTACACAAAGAATTGACCTGGGACACAACTTATTTTGCTGCAGAAGACATTCTTTCAGTCTCATATGTGTAGGTCATCCCTCTTAATGATTTATGAGCAGCCCAAGATGAAACTAGGTCTTCCAAAGGCCGTTTTGGAGCATCCGTTTTTACAGCCTGATTTTTGGTCCTCAGTTAACCCTGTGCCTTCATATTGCTCAAACTTGAGAAAGAAAACATACCATCCTATGTGGAGAGTTCTCTTCACAGACTCCATCTTCAGAGTGGCACTTTGATTGCCAAAGAGTTAACCCTGCCCGCCCTTCACTGTGCTTCACACAGATCTGGTGGAGGATCAATTTGTTACCTAACAATGGCAAGCACTTTTTGAAATTAGTCGACAGTTTTTCTTTAGTTCTCTTGCCAGGATGTCAGCTAGTTTGTCATTTGAAGAAAAGGAAGAGGTGAAACAAATCAGATCTGCCGAATATTATAATCATGGCTAATTAAACCTCCGATTTCCTGTTCTCTCAGGAGAGAAAAAAAGCCGGGGGTTCCTTTGTAGCTCTTGCTTCCTTAGCTGGAAGGGTGAAACCTGGACAAACGAAGTTGAAATTCAATTTGAATCTATTTTTGCCAACTGGTATTTTCGCCCACTCATTGGTACTATTAACTTTTTTTTCTTTCCTTTATCTTCTTAGGGATTGAATGGCTTTCTTTGCTGACTTACAGTTTTATCTAATTTCATTGTGTTTAAAGCACATTTTCTCCTGCAATCATCGTATGTTCCCTTTCTTTGGACTAGAACCATTTGAACAGTTCTAACGGAAAGATGATCTATATTCGTTCTTCAGATTTCCTATTAAAATTTGTTGAACACGTAATTTGACATCAACAATCTGACTACATTTGAACCAATAATCCAGACACAAAAAACAACTTGACTGAGACCAGTTCGTTTCTGAGAAACGCTTCAGTATGTGTGTATAGATTTCCCCCCACTTTTACCATTTTACACAGATAATCTTAATCAGAAAATACTGCAAACTCCTTCCACCTTTTGTCTGCCTTTTATTCCCCAGAAGTAAGTGGAAATTACATTTCCAGGAAAGGAAATGAAATAATTGCAGGCCCAAGGTCTGCAGAATGTGTATTGAAAAGAATCCACGTGTTGACAGACACCTTGCTAGATGCCATAAAGGCTTATGGGAAGCTTCCATTAATTTCTCATCTTGCTTGTTCAATGACTGCTTAAGAGACACATTTTAATTTATCTGCTTAAAGCACAAATACAAGGTGCTGGGTCCTGTTGTATTAACTTTTAAACTTTGCAACCGAACTCATGATTATTTAGTTCTTGACACCCTAGCTGGAATAGTGAACACCATGTATTTTCACAGTGACAGTTGCTTCGCAAATAAGACTACCTTTCTGAAAAATCTGTTTCTTAAGTACAATTAGACTAGCCTAGGGGGTCTAAGAGTGTGTGTGTGTGTGTGAGAGAGAGAGAGAGAGAGAGACAGAGACAGAGAGAGAGAGAGAGAGAGTTGTTGACTTCCCAAATAGGCAGACTTCATTTGTGTGTTAGCGTAGCCTTTGAACAACTGAAGGAAGTTTTAAGCAAATGTAGTTAGAGGGAAAGAAAGCTTTCAAAGTAAAAACTAATTTATCAGGCTCCCTGGAAGCCAGCTTCTTCTTGTTAAGTGCTGTTGAGTCAGTTCCGACTCATAGCGACCCTGTATCAGGTTTCTGAGGAGCGTCTGGTGGGTTTAAATCACCCACCTTGGGGTCCGCAGTCCAGTGCTGATCCTACAGCGCCTCGCCAGGAGTCCAACTGTGAGGGCTGTGTCCTGACTGATTACTCCACCTGAGATTCTAAGCAGAAGGGGAAGACATCCACACTGACCTACCTCGGAGACCTGAATTGACAATGCACTTTGATGTCAGGTCAGAATTAAAAGTGAAATGTCTCCTCTGCTTTTCAAACCATCTTTGTGCTTGCGTAGTTGCATCTTCCTTTGGTCTGAGGCGGCTCCACTGTAGTGTTTCAGGTGAGTCTCACAGCGCTTGTCGGTAAGGAGGACTCCACTCCTTGTCACCTCCAGTGCCTGCACCGCTGACACGTGTGTGCATCCACACCAGCCCCTGCCTTTCTGGCCTCCCTAAGACCTTTCTGCCTTAAGTCCTGACTCACAGCGAGCCCAGAACACAGTAGGATGGCTCCATAGGGTTTCGGAGGCTGCAATCTTTATAGAAGCAGACACCTCATCTGTCTCCTGCAGAGTGGCTGGTAGGTTCAAACCGCCGACTTTCCAGTTAGCAGCCCAATGCTTAGCCCCTGTACCCACCAGGGCCCTGTCTTATCTCCTCTGATGAATCTGCCCCCATGGCCTCACAGCTTTCTGCTTCACCTCCATCAGTTCTTTGCTCAGTTATCCCCTCGATGAGGCTTCCCGGGACCACCGTGTTTAAATGGCAGCCATCCTACCCCTAAACTCCGATGCCCCCTTACTCTACTCTGTTTTTCCTCACAGCAGCGATTCTAGCAGAAGGTAGATTATTATTACTACTGTTCATCATCTGTCTCCCCTACTAGATGAACGCCCCCTGCAGGCAGGCATCTGTTCTGTTCACTGATGTATCGCAGATAGCTAGAGCAGAGCTAAAACACATGCCTGGGATCCATAAACCAGTAGAACCTCAATCTGAATGCTCACTTAATCAGCAGGCTCCCCTTCCTCAGCAGTCATGCGTGCGCACGTTAAATACTGGAGGCTGCTGTTTATTGGGTTTTTGGTTTGCTTACTAAAAAACGGATTTTTAAAATGAGTCATTTCTGTTCAGCTCCGTCTTTCATCTGCATCTCTGTACCACTAGAAGAAAAAGTTATCTGAGACAACAGAATTGTTGTTGTTGTTGTCAGGTGCCGTCGAGTTGGAACTGACTCATAGCAACCCCATGCACAGCAGAACGAAACAATGAGACAACAGAATACTCAGTTGCAAATGAAAGACTTCAGCTATACTCACTCTTTGATTGGCCTCAGATGGCCAGGAAAGTTTGCTAATCTACTAAATAAGATTCAAATGAAAGAGTTGAAGGACGTAAGGCTTCTTTCTAACCAGAAAATTCAATGATGTCAAGTAGCCTCGAAAATTGTTTTTTCTTTTAATAAATTCCTAAAATCAGCAAATATTCCAAATAATTAGAAATTCCTGTCTAGCAAGTTAAAGAGTTAGAGATTTACTGATTTATTTTTTAGAGACCTTTGAGAAGGCAGGAGAGCCTTTCATTAATACTTAATTACAAGGCTTAATTCAAATTAGCATTCTTGTCACCAGCCTAACAAAGCCAGGTATTTATTTAAGAAAAAAAGAAGAAAAAGAAAAGGAAAGAGTCAAGATTTGAGGAAGTCTACTTGTATTTATTTCTCTTTTTAATAATAGCTTCAACAATTTATATCGTATTTTTTTAATTTAAGGTTTTTATTGTGGATTGAGTGAAAGTTTACAGGGCATATCAGTTTCACATTTAACAAATCATATACCTTGTTTCATTACATTGATTATAATCCCCTCCATATACCATCAGTTAACAGTATTTCTCTCTATCCACTTTAGCTTTTTTAAAAAACAAACAAAAAAACCCATTCAGGCATATATAATAATTTACGTCTCCAAAGGGCATACTCTGCAAGTCTGCTCCTGGCCACCAGCTCTTAGTCCTTCTCTTCTTAGTCCATGAATCTAGAGTCCTCAGCCGCTCCCCTATCTCCATGCCCCCATCTCTGCCTCCATCTCTGGCGCTGCTGCTTCTCTGGATAAGGTCCCGCATTCTGCTTGTGCGTTCCTCTCTTGATGGTCCTAGTATCCTATTATTTTTAACATATATATACTAGTTAGGCACACTATCTTAAATCATACTGTGAATTTGAATTTCATTCATTCTGATTGGCTATATAGTTCAGATAGAAATTATACAGGTAGCCTTCCTTTCTGCCATTAGAGACAAAGAGTTGGTCAAGCAGGTGAACAATGTAAGCTTAATTTTTGCTTTCAGTGCTCTCTCCTGTTGATCTAGACAAGTCTGATGATGTGGAGATACGGTACAACTCACTGACTGAAACTAGTCGGTGGGATGGTCAGTATTACAATAGAGAAAATTCAAATTCACAGCATTTTTTTAAAGATTGTATTCTGTAACTTCTAGACAGGCTTACCAAGTAAGTACAGCACAGAGTCAGAAAAGCAAGAAGGTTTTTTGTATTTTCATCAGTAAGAGTGCAGAGAGGAGTGAGGAGTCAACAAGGAAACACAATGCGAATACCTTTCCAGGGTGCAGTGCTGGTGCTTTCCCAAATAGATGCAAAGTCGCAAACAACACAGAGCAACTTCCAGAACGGATCTCTACAGACAGACCAGGGTTCCTCACTTTCCTCTGCCATTTCTTATCCATAAGGCCTTGGACGAGTTATTTAACCTACAACTCTTGTTTCCTCACATGTAAAGTTAGAGCCATCCTGTAAATGAGATAATATATGAAAGAATTTTAATAAATTCCTCTCTTTTAAGTTAAAATGATCATGTTAGACCTTTAATGGATAATCAAAGGCAAAAGTTAGGGTTGAAAGTGAATATACAGAACAGCTAAGATGTTGACTAGGCCATATGACCTTGGGAAGATCATTTAAGCTCTTTATTTTCTTTTTATTTCCATTTGTGTTTTTCTCATCTAAAATGGGAACATTTAGATAAGATGTTC